GCATGGCCCAAGAGTGGATATTAGAGATCCTTACTTTTTCCTGGCCTTCGCTGCAGTTGAGCGTCAAATTCCTGCAACCAGAGTATGATGATTGTGCCGTTACTTGCAGTGGGAATCTAGCAAATGTAAATGTGAGGATTTGAGTTCACAGGCTGTTTTCATCTCATATAGGAGTGACAAAATGGTTAAAAGAAAACAGTTAACCACCATATTATCCACTAAAAATGGGTTGGATAATGAACTTTCTAAAAACGGGTCAAATATGGATAAGAACTATATTATCCATTTAGAAAATGGATAACCAATGAGTCTAACTTTTATATTTGTAAACCCTCAAATTGGGGGTTCCTCAAGTTAGGGAGACTAAGGATTCTCCCAAAAGTGATCATATATAAGAAGTCATGGATAATATGGGTAATCCATATTATCCTTACCCATATTATCCGCCGGTTAACCCGTTTTTTATCCGTATTAAATATGGGTCGGGTCGGATAATTGATCCGTTTTCATTACCCGTTTTCGACCCGACCCGGCTATTTGCCACTCCTAATCTCACATATTAGATGTCATTAAAACAAGGAAATTTTACGACCTATAGAATACATTAGTACCCTATTTATATTAAATAAATACCATTTTAAAATATTACATTCTATAAATATCTTTTATTCTTTATAGCAAAAAATCTAAATATAGTTTCATCCTACAATTAAGGCACCATATATGCTAAAAAATATTTTTCTCTCTCCTTTTTTGTATTTTCTCTCACCTAATTACTGTATAACTCCTAAACACGTTCTCTCTCTCTTTTACATTGTGAAATATGCAATGTATTCAACTGTATTTTTGTTTGCAACTGTTCAATTTTCCAGTAAGTTTTCAAATGTATTCATATGTATCCAGCTTACTTATTTTTTATGTCATGTGTGTGGTATCTAGTTTTTAATATGTATTTAGCCTTGTTACTGTATTTAGTCTTCTGTAAGTGTTTGTAGTTGTATTGATATGTATTCAAAACTGATTTGCTATGAAATATGCAATTCTGTAAGTGTTTGCTCTGTTTTTTGCTTCTTTTCACGAAAAAAGGGAGAAGATTATTCTGCTTTCTTTGGGCAGATTAATGTGTACTCGTATTATTTCTTTGAGTTAAATTAGGAGACTATCATGTGAATTTATTTCCTTCCGTTTTTAACAAGTTTAACTCCCCAGAATTTGCGCAAAAATGTTACTGTATTTTATTTGTATTAAGCTTGAATACAGATAAATACAAATACCCATTAGCTGGAGTTCCCGTTTTTACGCCTATTTTTTGGTTGTATTAATGAATACAACTGCTTAAATACATGAAATACATTGTATAAAAACATAAAAAGTATCTATAACAAGTAATATAACAAAGGGTATCTATAAATGACTAATTAGGGCTAAAAGATGGTGCTTTATGAAAAATTCTCTTAAAACAATTGGTAATCCATATGATATTTCTAATGAAACTGTTAGTCATCTGCATTTTGTTGAGGTAATGCTTCATTTAATTAGTCAATGGGGAGGCAGTACTAATACTTAATTATTCTATGTTAATTGAACTTGGCTTGTATAGAGAAAAAGTGTATCAGATTGAAATCCAGGCACTTTCTATTTTTTGCTAGATGTGCTCATGCAAATCCAGGTAAATTTGGATAGGAAAGGTTTATGTTTTTTGTGCTTACACTTGGAGTTTAACATAAACGTTATATCCATTTTTCTTGCAGTTCATTTCTTGAAAATGTAGCTGACAGTTTTGGTGAAAAGCTTGACCTTTCAATTTTGAAATTCTTTTTCAGTGAAGCAAACACTTGCTACCAGTTATTTCTCCTTTTTCTGCCGAAGTAGTCTCTCTATTTTACATGGACAGTAAGTAGTTCTTTATAAAGTTTAGTTGAAAGCTAATTTTTGTTCTTACCCTTTTTTTTTTTCCTTTTCCAGCAAAGCAAAATGGTTTAACCAACGTTAAGACTTTTGTTTTTCTTTTACTCTCTTCTTAATTAGTTTTAAGCCGAGAAGCCTGTCAAGAAATTCAGGATGTTGAAGAACCGATAAATGCAAAAAGACGCACACTTCGAGAGGAGGTTGTATGCATGAACCTTCTATCAAAGGTCAATCCATCTTCCACCTCCTTTATGTGGATTTGGAATCTCCATTACCCCAACAAAATAAAGTTCTTCCTTTGGCAATGCATGCATAATCGTACCTCTTGCCGAGCTTATCTAGCTAAAATATGAATCAATATTGATGCTACATGTACTATTTGCAAAATTGGGGTGGAGGACATCCAACACATTTTTATTAAATGTCTAGTCTCTAATCGTTTTTGGGAGAATATGGGCCTTCCTTTCCTAAATATTAGTGTGATACAAATTGGCTAGTGAAGCTGAGGGATATCTTCATTCAAAGTAGTAATCACCAGATTAATTGGGATACTTTAATTCCCTTCTCTATCTGGGAAATATGGAAAAACAAGAATCATAATAATATCAACAATCTTAATCGTAACCTGGAAGCAAGAAAGATTATTCATCTAGCATGGGAATTCAAGTTCTTCACGGAGAAAAATCCCTTCATGCTCAAAAAAATCAAAATTGAAATCAATTGGGACAAACCACCCAAAGGTATGATTAAATTAAATTGTGATAGGTGTCTTTTCTAGTAGCAATGATGCAGCTGGGTTTGGTGATGCATTCCGAAATAGCAATGGAGACTGGATTGTGGAATTCCACAAAGCAAGTCAAGCAATTTCACATACGCATGCAGAGTTCATGGCATTACTAGAAGGACTAAAAAATGCTAAAGAAATGAACTTCCTAAACTTGGAAATTGAAACTAATTGTACGGAAGTCATCAAGCTTATATATGAGGATAGTTATAACTTCTCTAACATTGTTTCTGATTGCAGATGGTTAATGCACCCATTGAAGCTCCCACAACTGAAGCATAATTTAAGGGAAGGAAATGAAGTGGCACATATGCTGGCCAAAGAAGCTATCAAGAGCCCACCCTCTACTAAGTGTTTTTACCATGCTTGTCCACCCTTTTTTGTTGAACAAAAAGTGATCAAGAACAAGCATGGTGCTTGTAATAGCATTAAGAATACTTCTACTACTATTTGAAACTATTTGGCAACTATGGGCAATAATAATGCCCTAAAATTATCTACTATGTCTATGTAACTTTTGTTTATGTAATATAATTATCCGTATTTTGTGTCAAAAAAAATGAATATGATAACATTGGACCTAAGAAAATAACAATCAAACAAAAAAAAGAGAAAAGTAGACAGCAAACAAATCTAGGAAGCAAGTAATAAAAATACGGAAATTCATGCGCTGAAATTTATCCGAAAATCCACAACAGCACAGAAAGTATTAGAGGCAATACGATCATATAATTGAAACATGCAAAACACATAGTTTTAGTTTTTCTCCCCTACACATGCAGAGTTGATGGCATTACTAGAAGGATTAAGGGGTAGTCGAGCGGTTTTCCTCTTTGTCCCTGTTTCTCTTTTTGTTCCGGCGAGTATGATAGTGTTTTTGTCTAGCACTACTAGCGATTTATGTTATGTTTCACATTTTTGCATAATATTTGTGTTACTGCTTTTCTATTTATTTGTTATCTCTCACATTGTTGATATTATTTTGGGTTTTTGTTGTTACAGATCTAGTGTCTATGAGCCGAGGGTCTCCCGGAAAAAGCCTCTCTATTCCCTCCGGGGTAGAGATAAGGTCTGCGTATACACTACTCTCCCCAGATCCCACTGGTGGGATTCTATTGGGTCGTTGTTCTTGTTGTTGTTGCACCACAAAGTATTTATTACTTTTTCCATCCCAATTTAGTTGTCCAATTTTAATTTTCCGATTATTATGAAAAAAATAAAAGAATACAAATTATTTATATTTCTCTCTTAAATAATTTTTTTATGGAAACAAGGAATTCTAAAGAAGTCATGAATGAACAGTTATGATTCTTTCTTCTATAGTATGTTAAGAATATTATATTTATGGAAAGATTTAAACTCCTAAATATTAATAGTTCTTACATAATTCAAATAAGGAAAGAATTAATAGTTAAAATTTTAGTTAATTTTAAAGTCATAAAAATTAAGAAAATAATATAATGACAATGACTATTTTGTGTGTGAATTCTATTTTAAGGGGTAAAAAAGATGAACGATATTTTGTTAAAGAGCTTCATACTTTTAATATAATAATATAATATAGATATAAATTTTTTGGTAATAAATTTATATGACTACTCATTAAAAGGACTAAACTCAGTAGATGTGGATTTCAGGTTTGTAATTCTTCTTAATTGGATTAATTTCACAATTCATAGTGTTTCAGAAAGTAAATTAAAGTACTTTTGGAAGCAATAAATTGTTTAGTTGGAGTCCATAAAAGCTTTTTTTGGTGTGCATGTAAGACTACACTTCTTTCTTCATGATTAATCAACTTGCTATAATTCAGCACTAGGTGGCTCAAGGGGGAGGTTAGTAAAGTGCTTTAGGCCCCTAAAAATATTTTTAGTTGTGACTTTACAATCTTTTTTTCGCTTAGAAGTTTATAGAAAAAAGAAAAAAATACAAAATCCTTATAAAAAAAGAAAGAAAAACTATCTATTTTTTAACAATAAAAAGATTTTAGAACTTTGAATTAAGATACTCACATCTTCATATTGATAAATAACGTTTATTACAATAAGATCCAAGGTAACAAATTGTAAATACATGGCTAACATCTTATAAACTTGAATTTTCTTACCAATGTAAATATAAATATTATATTTTATAAGATAACTTCATAACATGCAAAAAAAGAAACCAATGTAATATTAATACTATATTATGCAAGATAACTATACGATAGACAAAAAAAATAAAAAATTAAGGCCACTGATCAAAATTTGACTTTAGGCCACGACTTTTATTGAGACGCCTTTGATTCAGCAATACTATAAGACAGAGACAAGTTTAACACAGTAGATTTACTTTTATACATCTTTCACCAAAAGCAAGATCACAAGGAAATGGAACATTAATTTACTTTTTTTTTCCGGACTAAGTAAACTATATGTTGTTCCAAATAACACAAAGTACAAGAAATTCTACCAATAATCCAAACAAGAACAAGTCCCATTTCTAAAGTGATGAAACCTAGATCTATCTCTTACTATAATTTCCCTCTCATAAATTCTTGAAATAAGCTTAGTAGCTGCATGGCAGTCACTGCAGACCCTTAGGTTTTTTATGATTCTAATAGGGGCACCAGAATTAGATGCAATAAGAGCATAAGCTATGGCTAACCTTTCACTATGGTATGAAAGCGCATCTTCCTTCTCTTCTTCTTCAATGTCAAACAACACTTCTCTTGTTCCTGACTTATGACCCTGTTCTTGCAGCCTTCTATTCATCTCATCTAGCTTCAGATATATCCGTTTAGCGTGTGGATGAGTCTTATCGCCAATAAGGAACGCGTGCATAGCACCATCAATATCGACAATGCTACTACCAGGAGCTTTGTCGATTCCATGATCTTTCATCAATTTCCTTACATTTTTCACATCATCCCACTTGTTCAAGCTAGCGTACATATTCGATAACAACACATAATTCCCGCTAGTCTTTGGATCTAGCTGTATCAACTGTTTTAATGCTGATTTACCTACCTCTAAGTTACCATGAACATGAGCAGCTCCAAGTAAAGATCTCCAAAGAACTGCATTTGGCTTCATAGGAATGGTCTGAACTATTTCCTCAGCCTCCTTCACCCGGCCTGCTCGACCCAAAAGATCCACTAAGGTCCCATAATGCTCAAGCTTAGGCTCAATTCCATAATCCTCCTTCATTGACTCAAAAAATTCGCAGCCTTGATCAACCAACCCCACATGAGAGCAAGCACATATTATAACTAGCATAGTTACATCATCAGGAACCAAACCTTCTAATTCCATTTTCTCGAAAAGGTCAAGAGCCTCCAGCCCAAGGCCATGCACTGCAAGTCCTCTAATCATGGCATTATAACAATACGTGTCTCTTTCGAACAATTGATCGAACAACTGTCGAGCAATATCAAGACGGCCACAATTTGCATACATGGTGACTAAAGTTGTGCCAACGAAGCGGTTGAGCTTGAGGCCATTCCTAAGCACAAAAGAATGAGCCCATATCCCCTGACTAAGCGCACCCAAATCAGCACAAGCACTAATCAACGCCACCAAACTAACTTCATTAGGACTGGTCAAAGATTTCTGCATTTGATTAAACAAAAGCAAAACTTCCAATGACAAATTAGTGCTATCATAAGCATTATCAAAACTGGCTTCCGATTGAACAGAAGTATTATGGGCATAAGCTGTAAGTATGGAGTTCCAAGAAGCTAAATCTGGTCTTGTGATTTGATCAAAGAGGAATCTTGCAACCCCCAATTCACCACTCATGGAGTAGAAATTAAGCAACGAGGCTTGAACAAAATGATCATAAGGTGGTTCAAGGAATTTCAAGACATGGGTATGCAAGGCGCGGCCATGTTGAAGCCATGGTTGAGAACTACAAGCCTTAAAAAGAGAGGGGTAGGTGTAATTATTGGGCTTGAGAGTGGTTTGAGTGAGAATACGAGAGTAAAGAGCTAAGGAAAAGTGAAGTTGATCATCTTTCCTAGCAAGGGATGATGAGATGAGGGTGTTGAAAAGGAAAATTGTTGGATTGCTTACTTGGTTGAAAATGGTTAGCGCATAGGAGTTGGTGGCAGCTAGGGTGGAAGACGAAATAAGTATGCGACTGAGAGGGTAAGTGTGGAGAATAAGCCCAGTTGTGATCATTTGAGCATGCACTTGCTTAAGAGTGGCTATGTTTTTGCATTGTTCTATGAGTTTGAATATTGGGTGGACAGATTTTGGGCTCAATGTATTCATGTGATGTGCTCGAAGCTTTGTGAGACAAACATTACCTTTCACAAGTCACTAGTGCAAAATGAGATTTCTTCTTTTGATGGTGCACTTGCACAGGATTAACCGCACGACAGAACTCAACAACAATTCAGATCATGCCCACATCTGAAAATTAAATAAAGACATAATTAGAACTCATCATTTCAACATATACAAATTTAGCACTTATATGAACAAAAATCATACATATGGTCATTATGGCCAAGATTTCTTTCTTTTTTTAATCGATTTAGTTACAGACTGATATAAAAATTTGTTCAAATAATCTCACCAGCTCAGATCACATCACTTTCAATTAGGATAGTTGTCACATCCTTTTTTTTACAAACTTCACTCAACCCTCCTAAAATAATAAAAGATTTAGTAAAGCTTAAAAAAGGTTTTCCAATTAGAACGTGACAAAAATTGTATTCAAAAGGAAAATAACTCAGAGTCGCCACCTGATTTTGATTTCGATGTGCCAGGTCACCATTTTTCTTAAAATGATTTTTCTTTTTAAAACATTTAAAACTCCAAAACCAAGTCCGCACCAGAGATTCGGGTAATGGGGTTCATTTGACTCGGGGAGAAGGTGTTAGGCACTCCCCAAGGCCCGTAACTAGTACGGTTGCATACATGGTCAAGTCGGCTTTTAAAATATTCGAATTGAGGTAAAACAAACACAGAAAAATAAACACACAAAAGGGACTCGAGGTCGTCCCCACCTAATAAAAGAAAATAAAAATAAAAATAAAATCCTGCAAGCTCTACTCTTAGCCTCCAAATACAAGTACTACGGGGCATACCCCTGAAATAAAATATAGTATACAAATCCCTCGGGGCATTCCCCGGATAAATTTAACTAAGGGAACGACCTCTCACCTCATATAAAAGAAAATAAAAGGAAAATCCTAATATATTCACCTACCCGTACATTAACGGCCTAAACATACTACTAGCAATGTTAAAGGCAATTAAATAAAAGTAGTAAGACGTTTAAGGTCCAATTTCTTCTCCATGTTCAATAGCAAATGTTTCTGTTTCTATTCAATGGCAATTTTCTTCCCCACGAAATTGAGGTCAAATAGCAGATTAGCCATTCAACTTGCATGACTAAAATCAGTTTAATACTCCTTTTTTTACATCATTAAGGCAAAACATACAATCAGATTTTGATTGTTCTAAAATCAAATAACAGTGCATGACTAAAATCAGATTAGCCACGAAATTCACATTAAGGCAAATGTTCCATTCAATAGTCAAATATCAATGAATTCACAGAATCAGACGGATAGGACCTTGATAAGCTTTAAAGGAACAAAATTGGGAAAGAATTTTGACCTCAGTTTCGTGAAATCGAATCAAACGGATAGGACCTTGATAAGCGACGGATTGGCTAGAGCTGGAACAGAACCTCGGACAGCCAGCTCGACGGATTCAAGCCACCTCAAAACGAAACCTCGATCGGACTTCGACAAGGAACCAGTAGAAATAGTCATCGAAACTCAGTCGGAAAACTCAAAACTCGCCGGAAAAGGATGCTAAACGAGCTGGGTTCTGGGTGATTACTCTCGAGCTTCGATTTCGAGTGTAGAAGACATGGTTATGGGTGAGAGCCCTAGTTAAGCCCTGCTTTGGGTGTAAAATCACGAACAAATACAAATACTACATACACAGAGAAAGATGTAAGGGTTTTGCCGATGAACTGAAAATCGCAGGAACCGTTGGTCAGTTCTCCACCATTCTCATTTGTGGGCCTAGTAGATGGGCCGAAATGTTCCTTCACCTGTTGGATTGGAGACTTGTAAACGTAAAAATTAGCCCGGATGGCTAGTTTTTAAATTGTAGTAATATGTCACTTTTTGGGGGTGGTTTTTAAGTTTCGACCCTCATTTGCCACTTGAGCAGGAGTTCAAAGGTTAAAAGTTATAATTATTGTTCATGGGACAAGCGAGAGGCAACACTTGTTAAATTTGAAGTTCTGCCAATGGGACAAGCGGGGACAAAAATTCAATATCATCTACTTTTGAGGGTTATTTGTGCATTTCATCGCTTGTTAATATTCAGCCACTATTTGAAATTTAATAAAAAAATAAAGTACTTTTAAAGATGAAATTAACATTTGAAAAAAAATACCTTCGCTAAAATACGAAACTCCAGCAAAATGTTGGAATTCGAAGCTTTGACAAATGGAACTTCATCACAATATCTTGGAGTTCGAAAAATTCCTAAAGTTCAAATGTCCAGTTCAAACTCCCCAACTTTCAAACTCCAAGCAAAATTTCTGGAATTTTTTCGTATTTTATCTAGGGGCATTTTTTGTTCAAAATTTATTTTTGCATCAAAAAGCGGCTAAATAATAAATAAATTTAAAATAACAATATCAATTAGTTGTCCGAAAAAGTGGATATTTCCCATTTTTCCGTAAAAATAGCACGGACTAGCCAGTTTTCGGACTGATCATTCAAAAATAGCCAATCTTTGTAAAGTCATTGAAAAATAACCACTATTTTACTGCAACAGGGACCGGTCCAGCATAATATACTGGAGATCGGTGCACATGTGTATGAACTTCCAGCATATTATGCTGGAATTCCAACTCGCGGAAAGTTCCAGCATAATATACTAGAGATTGGAGCACCTGTGTATGAACTTCCAGTATATTATGCTGGACCGATATATTATACTAGAACTCCAGTATATTATGCTGGAGTATTTTCCTGATTTAGAACAGTGTTTTCGTTTAGATTTATCTTACATGAAAAGTGGCTAAATTTTGATTACTTTTGAAACTGTGGCTATTTTTGAATGACCACTTGTAAATCTGGCTTTTTTTTAATTTCTCCCATTTTTTCTGTGTGGGGAAGATTAAAAGTCGGGAGGCCTTTTATTTCGAAATAAAGACAAGAAAATACCGTCTAAAACCCCTCTGTCTCTCTTGCTAGTTGCTTAGTATGTATAACAGAAGAGGAGGATAGGAATACAGATGCAATGAACTTTTTTTAGCCATATACATAGATTATACATTGATTATATATATATATACATAAATTATGCATATATTATACCTCAATCGGCTATTTTTAGTTTAAGCGATTGAGTGAGCGACCATTTTGTTAATCCTTCCTTCCTTACTTTTGCATCAGATCACTTTCATTAATCCGAAGAAGACATATGACTAGGGGTGTTCATGGTTCGATTTGGATCGGTTTTTCCCTAAAAAGAAACCAAACCAAGTCGGTTTTTCAAATATTAGAACCAAACCAAACCAATTAAGTCGATTTTTTCTTGATTCGGTTTATGTCGGTTTTTCGATTTTTTCGGTTATTTGTCGGTTTTTTCTTAAATATAAGACATACACTACCAAACACATATTTCGGTGACCACATTTTCAACGTAACACTATCAAATCAATTGCCCTTTGAGAAATCTATTATTTACCAAGATATATTGATGATAATTGAATCAAATAGTGATGAATAATTTAAGGATTCAATTAAAAATATATTATTTTTAACATGAAATAGATTCTTACACTTAACAAAAGAAAACTGCCAATCAAACTAGAATGTAAAAGTAAAGACCTGTACTAAAAGTGCAAACGATTAACATTTACTATAAAAAATTTGAAATTTTGTATCAAAGAATACATATATATAGGTGTAATAATAAATTTAAAATAGCTACTCCTATATTCGGTTTGGTTCGTTTTTTTTTATTAAAACCAAAACCAAACCAAATTTGATCGGTTTTTAAATTTCAAAACTAAAACTAAACCAAACTAAAAAGTATCGGTTTTTTTGGTCGGTTTGATTTGGTTTTCGGTTTGGTTCGGGTTTTCGAATTTTTATAAACACCCCTACATATGACGTACTTTAATCCTTACTCCTATGTATTCCCATAGAGAGCTGGTAGACATTTTTAAGTTTTCAAACCTTCTTCTTTTTTTTTTTCTTCTTTTTTTTTGAAAATTTTAATACATTGTTTAATGCAAAACCTTGTAAAGTTAACCAATGTTCTGAGATGTATTTGTATCATAAGTAGTAGTTGTGCAAGAAGAGTATTATGATAAAGGTACCCTAAGTCATGATGTCATGATAAAAAAATCAGCTAATTAATTACGATCCCAATCTTCGTTGAGCAAACTTTTAATCCAAAAAATATGGGCGTAAAAGTTGGAATGATAATTTCAAAAAAAAAACTCTATCAATTAAGACACAAGAAATAGTAAAATATACATTCTTATAAAATAAGATTCATTCACATATGAAGCAATGAAACTTGTTCAAAGACAAGTGAAAAAGACGTGCAAAAATACTTATAGATTTAACGAAATCATATGATCGTACGAGAAAAGTGTTATTAATATTAATGCCTTACTAGATTTGTCTTGTGGGATTATACTGGGTCGTTGTTGTTGTTGTTGTTATTATGATAGATTTGCCTTGTTGCCTTATTGCTTCTGCGTAGGTTCTTTGATTTAGTACTTTGTTTCTATTTATTTGTCCTATTAGCACGTTTTGCACATCCGTTAAAGAAAATAGTAATGATAAGATTTATTTGATTATTTTACTCTTATTTATGCTTTGATCTTTTATTACATTGATCTTCCTTTAATAAATACTTTCTGTAGGGTAAAGTTTGAAGAAAAAAAGATCAATAATTCTTCCTTAGATTAATATATTTTTTTTGGTTTCCCACCCGATGTCCATTATCCACATTGGGGCCCGACTAAAGTCGGATTCGCACCGGAAAGTTCCACATTGAGAGTAAGGCGCTTCCTAACAAAGGCGACTCCATATCTAGGGACTCAAACCCGAGACCTCTGGTTAAGGATAAAGAAGTATTTACCACTCCACCACAACCTTGTTGATGATATTTTGGGAAAGTTAATTACTTTTGACAAACATAACAAGTAAAATAATCATAAGATGTTCAGTGACTGTGTAAGAGGATATCTTGTATACTTTGTACAAGACTACAAGTTGAAATATGTACCTGAAAAAATTAAAAATACCGACAAAATCAAAGTGTGTAAGAGCTTTTTGTCTTTCTTTTTTGTTAGTTAGAGGAAGCATATATTATACATTTCACTTTATTTATCATATCGATATAAAACTTAACTATCCATTTACTATCTAGAGGCGGTCAGGCGGATATAGTTAATATGTTACAAATTTATTGAAATTCAATAATTTTAGTTCAGTATATATTAAACAATTTATTAAATATTTACAAATATAGAATTTATATCTAATAAATTAAATAACTTATGGTAAAATTCTGAACTCGGAGCATAATATTCAAATCATCTAATCTCTAATTTATTGTTACAACAATCATACTTATAAACTGTTAGGCCAAGCTTCTTCAAATTTGAAGTGTTTGGCGAAGTTTTTGAAGAAAGAAAAAAGTGTATTTTTAGGAGAAGCAGAAGCAGAAAAAGTAGCTTCTCCCCAAAAGTATTTTTCAAAAAAGTGTTTTCGAGAAAATACACTTAAAGCACTGTTTAAAAGTCTGGCCAAATACTAATTACTGCTTAGAAGTGCTTTTCAAATTAATTAACAACCAGTATATTGTTGGATGTGCCCTTGGCTACTGCTCTGCGTTCCTGTTGAATTATGGTATATATATCTCTCTCCCTCTCTTGAATTGTGTTACCAATCATATATATAAAAGTTTAAACTGTTATTGAGATCGATCGAGCACAATTTTATGTATTAATTAATTGTGTCTTTAGCATGCTTATGATGTGCGCAGGGCCGGTGAAGTTATGTGTGGCCAAGAGTGGTCAATTGAATATCCTTCGCCGAAAATTATATTGTGTATATGATAAAATATTACTACTTTTTATTGACAAAAAATTAGACTTTGAACACTCTTGCATATATAGTCACTAGCAAAGGGTGTTCAATAGTTGAACACCCTTATTGAATTTTTTGACTTTGCCCACCTGGCCCCGGGCTTAAACGGGTAGGCCCATTTAGGCCCACTACACATATGGGCTCGCGAGCCTGGGTCGGGCACGGGCCTAACCGGCCCACTTTCCACCCTTAGTGTATAGATATACATCACTTAGCCACTAACTACTTAATAATATATTAGCCATTGACATCTGTACATGTGGCCTACTAACTAACTTCTAACATCCTAACTAACTTCTACACTATGCATTCTTCTCAACACTCCCCCTCAAGCTGAGGGATGGAAGAGGTTCCTTCCCAGCTTGCTAATCAAATACTCATGTTGTGGTTTGCATAGACTCTTGGTAAGCAGATCAGCAGGTTGTTCTTTAGTCCCTATGTGTTGAGTCTGAATTTGGCCACTCTAAATCTTCTCCCTTACAAAGTGACAATCAATGTCAAAGTATTTTGTTCCTTCAAGGAATATGGGATGTGCTACAATTTGTATAGCAGCTTTGCTATCACAGAACAACTGCACAGGGTTGGTCACTGCAACTCCAAGCTCTCCAAACAAACCAACTAGCTAAGTGACTTTGGCAACAGTAGCTGCCATACTCCTGAATTCTTATTCTGCAGAGCTTCTGGAAACTGTGCTTTGTTTCTTGGACTTCCAAGAGATTACAGCTTCACCAAACTTAACTATATAACCAGTGATAGACTTTCTTGTTTCCACACATGAACCCCAGTCTGAATCACAATATGCAACTAGTTCCTTGTTACCTTTTGCTGGCATAAACAGTCCCAAACCTGCAGTTCCTTTGATATACTTGACTACTCTTATAGTTGCTTCCATATGTGACTGCTTAGGAGCATGC